TCATCATCACTAGTCATTAGAGAAATGCAAATCAAAACCACAATGAGATACCATCTCATGCCATTTAGAATGGCAACCATTAAAAAGTCAGGAAACAACAGATGCTGGAGAGGATATGGAGAAATAGGAACGCTTTTACACTGTTGGTGGGAGTGGAAACTAGTTCAACCATTGTGGAAGACAGTGTGGCGATTCCTCAAGGGTCTAGAACCAGAAATACCATTTGACCCAGCAATCCCATTACTGGGTATTTACCCAAAGGATTATAACTTATTCTTTTATAAAGACACATGCACATGTATGTTTATTGCAGCACTATTTAAAATAGCAAAGACTTGGAACCAACCCAAATTTCCATGAATGATAGACTGGATAAAGCAAATGTGCCACCTATATACCATGGAATACTATGCAGCCATAAAATAAAAGAATGAGTTCATGTCCTTTGCAGAGATATGGATGAAACTGGAAACCATCATTCTCAGCAAACTAATACAGGAACAGAAAACTGGACAGCACATGTTCTCACTCCTAAGTGGGAGTTGCACAATGAGAGTATATGGGCACAGGGAGGGGATCATCACACACTGAGGCCTGTCGGGGGGCATCAAGGGCAAGGGGAGGGATAGCATTAGGAGAAATGCCTAATATGGTGCAGCAAACCACTATGGCACATGTGTACCTACGTAACAAACCTGCACATTTTGCACATGTATCCCACAACTTAAAGTATAATTTATAAAAAAAAAAGAAAAAAAAAAGAAAGAAAAAAAAGAAAAAAAAAGGAAAGAAAAAAAAAAGAAAAAAAATTCTCAATAAAGAATTTATGTATAAATGTTCACATATATTTATGTATAAATGTTCACATGTCATATATTTGAAGTCTGCACTGCACGTCCCGCTTTCACGGACCTTTTTAAGGGGGTTTGAAATTAAAATTACAGTCCACTGACAGAACATGTTTAGTTCTGTGTTCATTCTATTCTCTATTTTGGGTATACATACACATTTGGATACACCATCTTTCCCTTGAAACACTACCTAACTTCCTTCCTCCCACACTAGTTCTTTCCAATATTGAAAGTCAGGTTAAATATTTTATTTAGGAAGACATGAAATATAACCTTTTAAAATAAAAATATAATCACTTTTTAAGCATATTTCACCATGAAGGTGGATGCTGTCTTCTTTAATTATATGATAAGTGCACCATCCATGATCATCAACTTGACTCTGTTGATTACATGCTCTTGTCTCTCCCTTTGTATAATGACAACACATTCTCTTTATTTTCATTCTCCTTGCTAATCCTTTTTTAATATCTTTTATTGACCTCATATCTTGATCCACTCCTGTTAAGTATTATCCAAGGCTCTGTTCTACAGGTCTCGTTCTTTCATTTTCCTTTTGCACTTTGAGATCTTGCTTCCTCACTTCTGTGTGGATGTATTTGCCAAGGGAATATGTGCTAACCTATAGAAAAACACTGGCTCTTTATGGGGTCACAGGGACCCACAGACAAAATGTAGTCACATTTTGGTGCCATCATGAAACATGGCTGGTTGAGTGCAGATAAAACATCTTTGTGCTGATCGCCATTATGAATCTGTTGAATAAAACATTGCTTGAAATGTTGATTTTCGATAATTACATCACACATTATTTGAAGATTATGTCTAAATATAGTTCAAAAAGCTAAGAAAATAGATATGAAAACTCATTGAATATTTTGATGGAGAAAAACTTTCTAGACTTTAAAGCAATGTTCATAAAGGAGAATTCTAGATCTGATTCCATTCAAATATAGATACATATGTGCAAATCACAAAAACCTACAAGCAAAATTAACAAGCCAAAGAATAACTTGAAAATATTTATAACAAACTTGCAAATCAACAAATAAAATGTTAAGTCCCCTTACACGAATGGTCAAAGAAATGAATAATTTAGAAAACAGGTAGTATAAATCACTAACAAACAAAATGTTTAAATCAAAAGTAATGAAGAAATAAAAATTAAAACAACAATAAAAAAACTCTAGAAGACGCTAAAAGCAACCTTTCTAATTTTAAAAGTTTGAAATAGGTGTAATGTTAAATGCATGCACTGGATAGTATGACAAGCATGCCCAAACACAAGCTGAACAAAGTCTTTAAAAGCATCTGCAGTATTTGACCAATAATTCCACTTCTAAGAATCTAAGCCAATAAAATAATTAGAAATATAGTCAAATATCTATATATAAGTAAACTACTCACTAAATGTTTTTAATCAAAATAATTTAAGAAGAAACAATCTAAAAGTCCAGTAATGTATAACCTAACCATATAATACATTGCTGTGCAGTGTGTTAGTTAAAAGAAGAGTTATTTAAATACAGGAAAATGATTATATTAAAACATTTTTAAAAATACAGAAATCTGGAAGTAAGCAGAAACTGGCTAGACTTCTTTAGGTGCTACAATGATATAGCATAGATGGTTTTGTCTAAAATGTTGAGTATGGCAATATAACTTTCTTCCTTATTTTCCCTAGCTGTTTACATGTATTGCTTTCACTCAAAGATCTTCACTAAAAATTAAAGAAGAAACTTTAGTTATCAGAAGTAATTGATATCTAACACAGAAATCATTAACATGTAAATCATGATGAAAGATCAGTGCAAATCAATTTACATATTTTTATCTGTGTATAATATGAGTAAATACAGCGAGATTCTTACAAAGCAAATAGGATCATGTCACTCCCTGCCTAACACTTCCAGGGACTAATCAGGATAGCTAAAATAAACTCCAGGCCTCCTAACATGGCCTCTCGAGTACTGAAGGATCTGTCTCCTGCCTAGTCTCATCTATTAACCCTGTCTCCTCCACCCTTTATGTATGCTGTTTTTCACCCACCCCTCCTCCTTTCAGCTCTTGGGAAATGCCAGACTCCTTCCCTCAGTATCTCTAAGCATGCTCTTCTCTGTCTGAAACACTCTTTTGTTTTCTTATTTCTTGACTGACTCCTTCTCAAACTTTAGGTCTAAGTTTAAATGTCACTCAGAAAGGCTTTCCCTGAAACCAACATAAATCTGGTTCCTTCTGCCATGCTCATTCCCTGTTTTATACATTCATAGCTCTTACCCTAATTTGGGTGGGAAATTTTTCTTGAGAAAAGTCACTGAAGGTGTTTAGAGAACAAAGAATCCAGCCAGTTGATTGAAAATCATAATAGTCTCTTTCCTTGTTAAATAGTTTGTATGCATTCCTGGCTTTTATAAACTGCGTACTTTGAGAAAATGGCAGTCTCAGTACATATGAATACAACACAAAAACATTGCTGATTTATAGTTTTCATGAGTGAAATGAATGCATTGAAAGGAAAATATTGGAATTATACTTCAAAGATAACCAAATAAATAAGGGAATATGCCAAAGGAAATTTGGAATTAAAGAGTTGTCTAACCTTTTATTCAAGACATGTTGGATGGTGAGTTGAAATCCTTTCTAATAATAGGTTCTTTGATGGCTTAAAGTACAATATTTCCTGAAGGGTGAGATGTAGCCTACCATATGGAGAACAGCAAAGGATGTTTTGGGCAGATACCTACATAAGGGGACACTCTTGGGCAGAGAAGAATCTGGTATGTGGCAAATGGCAGAGCTCTATGTGTCTGAAAAAATGTTGAATGATCAGGAAATTGAAATGTGATGTTAGAGACAGGATTGGCCACAGAAGCAATAATTCTATTATAATTCTAAGTTATAATTCTAGTTATAATTCTAAGTCTCATAGGAAATTTAAAAATGGAGAGATGTGACAAGGTTTTACCTATAAGGAGATTCAGTTGGCTGGTCTATGGAAGTGGACTGCAGAGCAGCAGGAAGGAGTGTACAAAGGCTGGTTTGGAGGTTATTGTCATTCAGATAAGAGATGATGGCATCCTGGCTACTCATTAAGGTAGCCCTGTACATAGAGGAACATGGAGAGAGAAAGAATTAAGGAGAGAACTAAGGTCAATTTTGAAGAAGAGGGATTTGCTAATTGAATAAATGTGGTTGGTGAAGGAAGGAAATCCCACACTGGAGTCAATGCACCTAGGTGAATGTATGAATTATACAGCCTCATCTCATGACCCATCAAATCTTTAGTGCAGTTCCTTCTTAGAAGTTTTATTTTGTTAAATTTACATAGAATAACTCGATCTAAGATCCTAGTGTTTCCAATCACAGTCAGGCCTAAGGTTATATAATAATTAGGTTTTAGTTAATTCTGAGACTCCGGAGACCAGCACTTGTTCATCATATGTCATAATCATATATTGTGGCATATCTCCAACCACTCAACTCAAAACCCTGGATTGGCACATAGTTTTATGTATATGTGTTTTTATATACATAAAACTATGTGCATGGATTGCAGTAGGCAAATTATGGTTTAGGGGCCCCATAAATCTAATTTTTCAGCCATTTTGTTTCCTCCAAAAACTCTCATTCTTCTTCCATCTCACTCAAAGTGTGTGCATACTCTCTCCATCCGTACCCAAGAAAAAATTGTCTCTCAAAAAAACCTCTTCATCAATGTACGCCTATGTTTAAAAAAAACCTGACTATTTCTTAATTCAAAGATAAAATTTCAGAATTTGTTAAATCTTATGAGTAGACATTTTGTGGGACTTTGAAATTGTTCTTGTGCAATAAAGCACATCGGTGATTCTATAATACCATAAGGTAAAAGCTACCTCTTCCATGAGAACACCCAGAAGCTAAATTCAGTTGTTCTCTTCATCATTACCTTACCTCTTACCATATATTTTCACAGTTTGGTGTTTTTTTGTTTTGTTTTGTTTTGTTTTTTTGGCTGCATATCATTTCATCTAATAGCAGAATATTGGGGCTTGAAGTCAGTTTAAGGATTATGAGCTAATCCAAATGTCCCAATATATAGATAAGGAAGCTACATCCAAAGGAAAAACACTTTTCAAGGTCACAGTGGCTAGAAACTGTTGCACTTACATCAAGAATCTGTCTTTCAACAGGCAACACAGTGTGCCTTCTACCCGCTGCTTCTTCGTTGAAGGCTTATCTTGAAGTGAAGGCTATGCCTCCTTCTCATGCCTCTGACATGGTGCTGATCTTCATTGAGCCCGAGTGTTCTCTCTGAAGAAAGAAAGACAGAAAGGCCAACCAGCACAGATATCTTTTCTACCCTATGTGGTGGCCCATAATGCAAAATGGAGGGTGTAGAATATTAAGATAGATTTCTTTGTCTGGAATTTTCTGGGAAGAACATTGCAGTTGCTTAATGTGCATAGTAATGCCGTGGCGACTTTGTTAACATGCCGTTTCTAATTCACTAGATCTGGGATGAGGCCTGAGATTCTGCACCGCTAACAAGGTCCCAGGTGTTGTAGATGCTATGGGACTGCAGACCACGCAGAGCAGGTAGAGCACACACTTGAGACCCTCAAAACCTGTGCCTTGGGGTGCCCTCTGCTGGCGGCAGCTGTGCAAGCAGTTTTTAGGCTCCCTGTTGGCAATCCAGGGGATAGAAACAAGACAGATACTAGGTTTCTTCTCCAATGTGACGGTTGATTTTATGTGTCAACTTAGGTAGGCTATAGTGGTCAGTTGTTTGGTCAAACGCCAGGCTAGATGTTTCTTTGAAGGTATGAGATGTGATTAATATTTAAACTAGCTGATTTTGAGTAAAGCAGATTACCTCCCATAATGTGGGTGAGCCTCATCCAATCAGTTGAAGGCTTTAAGACAAAAGACTGAGATCCTTGGAAGAAGAAGGAATTGCAAGAATAGCAACCTGTGAACCTGTCCAAAACATTTCAGACTTTCCAGACCTCACAAATGTGTAAAGAATTTCCTTAAAATGAATGTCTCTAGATAGACAGATAGAGATAAATATCTAAATCTTTCCCTATATCTACCTCGAGAGAGAGAAAGGGGGAACCAATAGAATGTGTGTGTATATGTGTGATATATATATATACACATGCATACATATATATATACACAGAGATATATATACATATATCTTTCCACAGTAAAGGAAACTATCATCAGAATGAACAGACAACCTACAGAATGGAAGAAAATGTTTGCAATCTGTCCATCTGACAAAGGTCTAATATCCAGAGTCTACAAGGAACTTAAACAAATTTACAAGAAAAAAAATCAAACAACCCCGTTAAAAAGCAAGCAGAGGACATGAACAGACACTTCTTAAACGAGGACATACATGCAGCCAATAAACATATGCAAAAAAGCTTAATATCACTGATCACTAGAGAAATGAAAATCAAAACCACAATGAGATACTATCTCTTGTCAGTCACAATAGCTATTATTAAAAATTCAAAACACTATAGATGCTGGTGAAGTTGCTGAGAAAAAAAAGAACACTTTTACATCATTGGTGGGAGTGTAAATTAGTCCAACCATTGTGGAAGACAGTGTGGTGATTCCTCCAAGACATAGAGGCAGAAAAACTTGACTCAAAAATCCCATTCATTACTGGGTACACACCCAAAGGAATCATTCTGCTATAAAGGTACATCCACATGTATTTTCGTTGTAGCACAATTCACAATAGCAAGGACATGAAATCAACTTAAATATCCATCAATGATACACTCGATAAAGAAAAGGTAGCACATATACACCATGGATTATTATGTCCTTTGCAGGGACATGGATGGAGCTAGAAGCCATTATGGTCAGCAAACTAATACAGGAACAGAAAACCGAACACGGCATGTACTCACTTACTAGTGGGAGCTGAATAACGAGACCACATGGGCACATGGCAGGGAATAACATACACTGGACCCTATAGGAGGGAGTTGGGTGGAGGGAGGGAGAACATCAAGAAAGAAGAATAGCTAATGGTTGCTGGGCTTAATACCTAGGTGATGGGTTGGTCTGTGCAGCAAACCACCATGGCACTTGTTTACGTATGTAACAAACCTGCATGTCCCGTACATGTACCCTGAACTTAAAATAAAAGTTGAAGAAAAAACAACAAAAACTATATATATGTATATATATATATATATTCTTTTTCTCTAGAGAGCCTGACTAATACATCACAACGAGATAATATCAATTTCCTAGAATAATGCTGTTATATTTTCAAGTACTGACAAATATGAAAAGTTAACACTGAGAAAACATTAAATCTGTATTTCATTCATTTACGAAATATATTTGAGGATCTAGTCTGTGCTAGTCCCTGGGGTTATAGACGAGAGGAATACGAAGTCCCTGCCCTCATGCAGTACGAGTTCTGGTCAGGGAGACAGGCAACAAATAAGTGCACAATGAATAGAAATGCAGAAAGCAGCACACACCATGGAGAAAAAAGAGAAAGATAAAAGTAGATAGTAAAGGACTCTCAGAAGAGGTAATACCTGAAAGGTATTTAAATAGAGACTCTCCAAATTAATCGAAATGTTTACCTGGCCAACTGATATCTGTAAGTATTCACCGTGTTCAACATGATTTTCTAGAGGCTGGGGATAAAAAGATAAATAATATCTGACTTTAAGAAACCTACACAGAGAAGTTGAAACACACACATCCTCAGAAAAGAGGATATTTAATAAAAGTTATACTAGAGAGGGTATCCTAAACTATAAAATGGCCAGAAGATAAACAAAGTTTGGATAAATCCTTTAAACCAAATGAGTAGTGACAGAAATATATAGTGTACGTTGGGACTCAAATCTTCAAGTAAGTTATTTTTTGAGTATACTAAATTACATAATTAATTTTGCTTTCGGCAGTATTTCTTTGAAGATCTAGTTTCAGCTCTCATATAACAAATGCTATCTAGCTATTGATCCTTCCAACTTTCAAGTCTCAACATTTGTTCTTCTGTTGTTTCTTTACGACTGGTAGCTATTAGGGCTGTCATTACACAGTTCTACTCTGATACCCATATGAAGTGCAGTACATAAAAGGAGGCATTGTTTAAGGGGTTAGAGTTTATGCTGGTTGGCCCAAATCGTAATCTCCTCTGCTTACCTCTACCTACTTATTAAGTTTTAGGCCTGGAATTTACTTTTTATGTTAAGCAAAAAGTATAAAGATAGGAAATACTATAGCTATTAAAAACAATATGTTGATATATAAAAATATAAGCCTTGGGGTGAAGTTTTGAATTTGAAAGTGAATGTGCTTTCTGCATAACATATAGTTCTTTGCTCACCTTGTTGGGGAGAATCCAATTTGGGAGAGGTGAAAGAGAACTAATGTTTGTCAGGCTTTTTATACGTTCTTATATATCCTCACAATGTTATAGAAATGCTGGGATCTGGACTGATCTCAAGCCTGCTCAACTCTAGGTTCTGTGCTCTTCCTATACACCATGTTGTTTCCCCTAATTTGTGCAATAAACATAATTGATCTTTTGTGTTCAGTCTAGTTTCCCTCCAATTGAGACATAAGGACTTTTAAAAAATGCCTATCTCACCATATGACCTGTGTCCAGCACTTAAAACTTTCCTGTGGTTTTCTGTTGCCCTAAAGTTAAGGGGAAAACTCCATAACATGACCCATGAAGCTTTGCATTCTATGGTCCCAAAATTAGTTTCCAGTCTCTTCTTATACCCACCCACTGTCTTTCTACTTCAACCTTACACTGGTCATTTTTTACAATCCTTCCTGCCACAGGATGTTTGCACATGTCAGATTTTATAAAGTATTATTTGCTGTTCTCTTAACTTAATTAACATCCTTCAGGCCCTAGTTTAGGGGTCACCTCATCAAGCCAGGTAGGTAAGAAGTGGGGAATGAGTGATTATGGAAGTTTATGGGAGAAGGCCAACCACATGCAAGGAAACTGTATGAGTCTCACTGTTTTCCATAGAGGCTATGCCAATGTACATTCCCACCAACGGTTTTCAAGGGTTCCCTTTTTTCCACATCCTCACCAGCATCTATTTTCTTTTTTTAATTAAAACCATCCTAACAGGTGTGAGGTGATATCTCATTGTAGTTTTTATTTGCATTTCCCTGATGATTAGTGACACTGAGCACCTTACCATATATGTGTCGGTCCTTTGCATATCTATTCATGTCCTTTTACCATTTTCTAATCTGGTTATTTGGTTCTTGTGTGTTTGCTTATTTTTCTTTTCTTTTCTTTCTTTTTTTTTTTTTTCGCTATTGCATTGCTCCTTAGATATTTTGAATATTAGCCCTTTATCCGATATTCAGATTGCAAATATTTTCTCTCATTCCAAGGTTGCCTTTTCATTTCATTGATTATTTTCTTTACTGTAGAGAAACTTTTGAGTTTGATGTAATCTACTAAACTTAAAATCTGGGTGTTTTTCCCCTGTGTTTTCTTTTAGGAGTTCTACAGTTTCAGCTCTTACATTTTAAGTGTGTGCCACTCCATGTTTAGTTGACTTTTTGTATGGTGTAAGGTAAGAGTCCAATTTCATTCTTTTGCATATGGATTTCCAGTTTTCCCAATACTTTTTATTGAGGACTATTCTATCCTCATTGTGTATTCTTAGCACCCCTGTCAATAGTCAGTTGACCCTATATGCGTAGGTTTATTTCTGGGCTCTATATTCTGTTCCATTGTTTCAGATGTCTGTTTTAATGCCAGTACCACGCTGGTTTGGTTATTTAGCTCTGTAATATATTTTGAAATCAGGAAGTGTGATAGCTCCTGCTTTGTGATTCTTGCTTAAAATTGGTTTTGCTATCTGAGGTTGTTTTGTGCTTCCATAAAAATTTTAGGATTATTTTTCTACTTTTGTGAAAAATGCCATGAGAATTTTGGTAGGAATTGCATTTAATCTGTAGATCGCTTTGGGTGGTATAGATATTTTTACAGTATCAATTCTTGCGATTCCTGAACATGGTATATCTTTCTATTTATTTGTGTCTGTTTTAATTTATTTCATCAGTGTTCTGTAATTTTCAGTGTAAGGACTGTTGAATTAGAGGAGCAGAAGTGAAGTTGGAGATATCAAGATAGATGTGTGAAGTACTAGATTTCACCTAATGTAAGGCACATGGAGTGGACCATAGGACACAATATGTCTTTTTGTGTTAAAATAGGTAATAAAATATCTGCTAATCAAATTGGAACAATACATTGATTGTAGCTTGTTATGATACATCCTGAT